CGTGGAGAAGGATTTTTTAATCTGTTGCCTTTAATTATGTTTATTTTGTTTTGGAAAATAATCGCGTTCGATCGATAAAACAGACGACTTTAGGATCGCCTTAATATACATGTTTGAAAATTATTGTTAATTATAGAATTATAATTTTGTAATGAAGTTTAAATAAAAAAACAATGTAATCTGAAATAATGCGAATATCCATATAACACCCGTTATATATCATGTTTAAGTGTGTATCGCGAATCTATTAATATTATCGACACTCAGATCTACATTTATCAAATGTCTAGTATCAAAAGTCTTATTCTGATAGCCGACGTCTACAAATCCATTAGTTTGCTAAGATTTCGAAAAGAATATAGAACACTTTCGTCAGCAGAGAAGGTATAATTTATTAATTTTGACTGTACAGTGGACAAATAGGTTGCGACACTTTTTTCATAGATTTTTCAAAACGCACTAATATTTTGCGTAAAATTTTTAATAATATATATGAGCATTCCGATCTTCTGGGCCAAATCTGCTTTCTCATTGTTGGGTAAGAAAAGATAACGTCACACCAAATCACCGTCAATGATGACCTTTCGCCGGATTCCCTTGATTTCGTATGTAACTTTTGTACGTGCTAAAAATGAAAGAAAGGATGTGTTAATAATATTCTCAATTTACTAAATAAATTAGCAGATATAATATCTGTATAATCGAAATTGAAACTTGCCGATAAGCTTTCGGATTTAAGCCCGCAATATGACAGATATGCATGACCATATTTTGTAATATAAGTAATCTCCGATATGTTTTCTCTGGTACTGGCAGAGTGTAACCAAGACTGCCGTCCAACGATGCTAAAATGTAAGAAGAGATGTGTTCGCATGTAAAAAAACGCTTGAATGATTTTAAAAATATTCCATTGAAAAGTTCGCTATTTTTAAAATATATATTTGGACTCACCGTACATAGTGACATATCTTTTATCAGGACCGGAAAACTGTTTCTTATCATTTGCAGGATCGGTGACTCTAATGCGAAAGAAAGTGTTTACTTTTTGTCCCAGATGGAAATCCGCCTTTCTAATTAGCTTTTGACCACCCAGACTTTCTCTGGACTCTGGTTGATACATAAATAAAGCTAAATTGCTCTCTCTGTCAGCCACAACAAAACCTAAAAGATCGGAAGAGCACACG